GATATGAAAAATAAAATCTTAAGTGATGTCACTTTATGATTATTAACTTTTATTTGAAATGATTTCAGACTTATAGTAAAGTTGCAAAAGTACAGGGGATTTCTGTATTCACCGACATCTACCACCTTCCCTTTCCCTCTTTACACCTACACATATGTATAGGTATAAAGTGTGTATTCATATACATTTTCTTTACCTGAAATATTTTAGAGTAAATTGCAGGCCTGACGCCTCTTTACTATGAAATAAGTCTGTGTTTCTTAAAATAGGACAATTTTTAAAAAATATAACCACAGTATTTGTCAAAATTAGTACTTTAACATTCGCATATTATTATCATCCTCTCTACCGATTATATTCAAATTTCATGAGTTGTCTCACTAAGGCTTGTTACTGTAAACGAAAGAAATTCTGGCTCAGAATCACATATTACATTTAGTTGTTATGTCTCCTTTCTGACTTTTTTTTTTTTTTTTGGTGCTGGGGATTGAACCCAGGGACTTGCGTATATGAGCAAAGCACTCTGCCAGTTGAGCTATATCCTCAGCCCTTATTGTTTCTCTCTTTTAATCTGAAATAAATCCATCTTAATCTGCACAATTCCAGTCTTTTTTGGTCCATATGATCTGGAATTTTCTTTTTTGTACCAGGAATTGAACCCAGAGGTGCTTAACCACTGAGCCATATCCCAAGCCCTTTTAATATTTTATTTAGAGACAGGGTCTCACTAAGTTGCTTAGGACCTCACTAAGTTGCTGAGGCTGGCCTTCAACCCACGATCCTCCTGCCTCAGCCTTTCGAGCTGTTGGGATTGTAAATGTGCACCACCTCTCCTCGGGTGCTGGTGTTTTGAAGAGCCCAGTCCGTTTACTTTATGGAGTGCTCCTCCTCCTCTGGGGTTCCTGTGCTTTCTCCTGACTACATTTAGTCTCTACATTTGGGGGATTCCCGACACTGATGTTTCTGGCATGGAGGTGCCTCTGTGAGACCACGGGTGGCCCAGGATGGTTCCCTGTTGGTGTGATGCTGTGGTTCAGGGCCTGTCTCCACATTTCTCTATTGTATACTTACTGTGTTTCCCTTCGTCATTCAGGAAGTGTCTGATAGGAGACTTCAGGACTCACTAGTTTTCGCATTCTTCCTAGTTTATATTTACTGAGGTGTAAGGCTCAAGGTGACAACTGAAGTGTCAGATTTGCAATTGTGATTCTGAGACTCATGAAGGTGGAGAGCAGCAAAAAGATTTAGTTCCTAAGTTCATCACTATGGAAATTAAGTGCTCAGATGAAATAAAGCCTAGTTTACCTCAATTTTGTGTTTGATGGGCTTATTTTGCAGGGAAGTCAGTTTGATAGCATCAGATAATTAAGAGGGAGCTGCAGAGAGGTCTAGAAAAACAGCCTGATGGTTACTAACAAGATAAAAATTAATTAAGACATGGTCTCACTATGTTGCCCAGGTTGGCCTCCAACTCTTGGGTTCAAGTGATCCTCCTGCCTCAGCCTCCTGAGTAGCTAGGACTATAGACATGCCACAGTGCCTGGCTTGAACAAAACTCAGTTTAAATAGCAAGAAGATCTATTTTTTTTTTTTTTTAAGATAGCCATTTGTGAGCATCTGGTGTCGGTATGTAGAACTGTATAAATTCATTCTACTTCCTGCACATGATTATATCCCATGATCTGGCATTTGATGGTACCAACTGATTTATCAACTGCTAATAAACCTTGCAGCATGGCTCTACTGTGATGAATGTATTTCAACCAGAAGTTTGTCTTTGATGATTCAAAAATTCTAAGTTGGTAGGGCTTACTCCTTTTTTTGTATGTGTGTTTTTGTTTTTGTTTTTTTTTTGGGGGGGGGTGGGGGTGTTGGTTAGGGCTTATTCTTGCTGACTAAACTACAAGGTCTATGCATTTAAATCCTAATATGTTAAACTACAATGCAAAATAAGACATAGTGAATCTGTTATTTATGTGTTCTTTGGAACAATAAAATTTTTGTTGGATAGGAAAAAACACAGGAAGCCAGGTTCTCAAAAGTCTGCTTAGTGAGTGTGGAATCACAGTAAGGGAATTGTTCTTTTGAAAGTTGAAAAGTGTGCTCCCTGGGATTCCCATCCATAGAGATGCTTTTGCAAAAGGGGGAAGCACACAAGACCCCTCCTCTTGCAGAGTAGCAAGGCATGTGACCTTCTAATGGCCGAGGTGGTGTCTAAAAAACTTGTGTTAGTCACACCTCCCTCACACAACAGCCCTGGGACAGATGTTTATTAGCATCAGACTTCTGTAGTTAGGTTTTTTTTGTCTAGGTGAGACCAGAGGAACATTTGGTTCACCAGACACTAATCTCTAACTCATTTTTTCCTCTTTGTTTCAGTTAACCATTTCTTTCTTCCCTCCCTGTTTCTATCTCTCCCTCCCTTCCTTTCTACTTACTAAAGAGATTTTAAAACCTTCTATTCAGTGGTATTTAGGCCTGGGAGCCATTTTGCTCCAGTGTGTATCTGTGATCTGTCACTGGTTAAGAAAGAACCATTGCTGAGTCGTCAGAAGTGGGGAAAGTGTCTAATGAACATTGTCACCCTTGGAAGATTCTTGATGCTGCTGCTGATACCACAAGGCCTCAAGGAAATTTTCACATTTTATTGAGTAGCTTTGGAGTTCAATGTCTAGAGAAGGGTTTCTTTCAAAAGTGTTAAGTTTTACTTTAAAGAAGTTATATTTTACCTGAGAAGTTCAGATGTGTGAAACTACTTTGTGGGCTTTGACAATACATGTACCTAAATGAATATTTTTTTTAAATAGTTTTTTTTTTAGTTGTAGATGGACACAATACCTTTATTTTACTTATTTATTTTTGTGTGGTTCTGAGGATCGAACCCAGGGTTCGACTGAAACATGCTAGTTGAGCGCTCTACCACTGAGCCACAGCCCAGCCCTAAATGAATATTTTTTAAGACAGTTCTGTAAGTAAAGATTTTGTCTTTTTAAGCTTATTTTTTTGGTTTCCTACTTTTAGTTTTGAATTCGTCCAGTCTCTCTAATTGTGAAATGTTATGTTATATTTGTTATACAAGGCCAAGATTGGAACAAAGTGAGTCCATTTTTGGTTTCCATTCAAAGTGAGTTTAATGTACTTACTTTTCTACACAGTTACAGGGATATCTTCTAAGGTAAAATAGTGCCTCAAAATAAATTTGGGTGTTGAAGCCTTCGTAGTGGTATGAACACAACAGCACATGGCTGCACAGACGTTTCTATTTATTCTCTGCTTTTGTGAGCATTTTCTTATGTGAAAGAACAGGCTGGGACAACACCTCTGGAGGGCCACAAGTTGCAGGCCTATCTCTGCAACCTGCTGTGGACATGGCTGGGATTGCTGTTCCTTCATTTATTTATTCATTCCATATGTGTTTACTTGCCTCGTGTGTATTACTCAACTTTTCTGGCTGTAATAATAGCAAGAGGAAACTTGCCTCCTTCACTTAGCTTTTAAAATTATTTCTCCCCCAGCAAGGATGTGCCCGTAGCATCATTTTACATGGCAGTGGGCATGGGTAGATTTCTCCTATTGACCAGAGGGCTGAGATGCATTCTTCCATGAAATGGGTTCTAACGATAATCGAGACTTCACATTCCTTCTTTCTTTTTATATTTATCATATGGAGTCTTACTCCTCACAAACCATGGTTTACTTTCAAAAAATATATTTTAAACCATCTAATAATATCTTTATTTAGTGTCACATTTATTTTATAAAGGGTAGATGCTTATTTTAGCAATGATTTGTCATTAAAATTATGTCAAAATGTCTTAAAATGTTGTTGAAACTGTAAACAAACTCATAACACACACAGAGCTAATTATGGATGCCATCTGTTTATTTTTACTGAGCTTTTTTTTCAAAACCATGGCATTGTCTGCTTATGATAAGCTTCAAGATTATTATAATGACTAAGTCCCTGTCCTTCAATTAGTGTAGTTGAAGATGGAAAGATAATTTGCTTGTTCACTGACCTTTTCCTGTGCCCATGTATGAAATATGACATGCCATGGCACTTCACTATTGTGAAGTGCATTTAGGACATACTTAAGTTCTATAAGGAAGAAAATCAGTATCAAAGCAGCAGTTATAGCCAAAGTTTTATTACAATCCTAAAGCTTTTTTAAGATTTTCAAGGATGGGCAGATTATCTTCTGTACCGCCATAATTGGCTTTATTTTATCTCAAGTTTAGGAATTTATAGGCGATCGATCAAGTTATAATGACGTGTATCCCTGTTGGTGCGCCTGCGTTGTCAGTGCATGTTTTTGCACATATGCATCCCATGTGTTAGTGTGGAAGGCCAGGTACTCCCTTGACAGCACCAACCCGAGCAGTTCTCCGCAATTTGCTGAGAGCGCAGAGTGATTCACTAGCTCTGCTTTGCTATTGTGCATGCTAAGCACTGCCCAGGTCAGTCTGAAGGGAGAGCAACCTGCAGGCTCCATCTGCTCCTTTCTGCTGCACTGCATTGATGCAAGACCACGCTAATCTGGCTGCTTGTCAGGACAGGTTAGTGGAAGCATGCAGTGGCTGAGACGCGGCTCGACCAGTGCTTTGGAAAATCATAAGCAGCCCCTACAGATGCCATGTTAAGTGTAGCAGAACAGGCTGACTATCAGCCACAGCGAGACTTGCAGCACAATGAATGCGTGAATGTGTTTTTCAGTTGAGAATCAGTTTCAAGTTAAATTGTTAAATACTGTTGGGCCACAAGTAAATCAAAATTGGGAAAAGTAACACAGATAGTTTACAAATACTTTTTAGATCTGAATTTTTTTGATTATTGTGTTTAGTCTTTCATCTTATTCTCCTGTCTGAGGGTATTTTAGCCAAGTATAACTGATAAGTATAACTGACCTCATTTTACCCAGCACCTTTTGAAAACTCTCTTCTTTAATTCTACTTGCACACCTTGCTCTTCACCCACTGACGGGCACATCTTGGCCTTGCAGGTTGAGCATCCTGTCACAGAATGCATCACTGGCCTGGACCTAGTCCAAGAAATGATCCGTGTTGCTAAGGGTTACCCGCTCAGGCACAAACAAGCTGATATTCCCATCAATGGCTGGGCCGTGGAATGCCGGGTTTACGCTGAGGTAAAGTCAGTGGTGCTGGGAGCAAGGTTGGTGGTGGTGTCCAGAGTCAGGAGACCTGGTGTAGCTAGCCCACGGGTAATGCAGGGTGTTAGGTCCTGTGTCAGGTGTTTGATTATGTAATCCATAATCAAACCAGAAAAATGTTAGATGATTTCCACATAATTCACCATAATTTTAAAGAATTATGTATTTCCAGGTGGGAAATAGCTGCCATTCCAATCAGAGGCAACAAGCATTGGTTGAGCATTTCTGAGCATGAATGGACTATGGTTTTATTTTTATTTTGTTTGCTTTTGTTTTTCAACCCCATTAATAAGAAATAGTCATAACTTTCTGTGGGCTTTTTCAAAAGAGCCTACCCTGGGTACAGGTTATTGTTGATTCCATGTTTAGTGAACTTTTTTCCAACAGTTTTTTTTTTTTAATGTTTGTCCTTTATGATTACATGGACATTATGATTAAAATTTGAATGAGCTTTTCATAAAGCATGTACTCTTATTTCATAATTTTACTCATCAGTTCTTAGTTCAGTATTTTGATATTACTGTATAATTATATGAATCAGGAAATAGAGCACTCAGTACCTAAAAATGTGTTTTTTTTTTCAAAATGATTAAGACAAGAATGCAAGGCAACATTTGCACCTTTACTTTTAGACTGTCTATCTAAAATGTCTATCCATATAGAAAAAAAAAATCAGTGTGGTATCTGTGTTTAAGACTACTGAATGTTGTGTCAATCTTTTTAAAGTAGCTTGAAATATGTTTTGTCATCGCTGTTACTGCCCCTCCTGCTCTGCATCATGTGTTAAGGGGTATGTCTTTTTTGTGACACTGATCTTACTTATTATTTATTCTGATGATCTAAGATCTTTGTAAATGGAATACATATCTAGCAGCACGTGGAGCGATTCTTTTCAGGTCTTTATTTGAAGAGCCCAGATTCTCAAGTTTTACCATATGTGAGCTGTTTTGAGAAGTAAGAAAAACAAATATCTTTAGTGCAGCACATTTGTTGTTCTGAACTTGAGTATGTTTTGATGTAGAGCCTAGGTTATTTTATTTTTGCCCAAGGCATTCTAAGAAGTTTTATAAAAAGTTGGAATTTTACCAATTACAATAAAGTACGATCAAGGTCAGGCTAAATTCTGCTTGCAGTTCTGTTTGATTTTTAAATACACTTTTGAGTTGTCTAGTGGGTAAGATAGTAGCATTCCGAAATCTGTGATTCGGTAAATACCGTATGTTAAAAATAGAGCTATGAATGCTTCTTCGTTGTAGCTGACCTTACTTGTGCTGATTTATATTTCAAAGACTGTGCTTCCTTTCCTTTGAACTTTCAGGACCCCTACAAGTCTTTTGGTTTACCGTCTATTGGGAGATTGTCTCAGTACCAAGAGCCGATACATCTACCTGGTGTAAGTCATTAAGCTGTAATACCAGCTGAGGGGTTAAAATCTTGATTTATGTCATACTTTTATGTGAAAGCAAGTCAACACCAAAGGGTGTAAATTGAGGGACAAGTGTAATTCATGGGGAATCAGTGTTTTTGTTTTAAAAAAATTTTTTTTGTACTTTATAGTGTTCAGGAAAGACAGAATTCTTTTGACAAGGGAAGCTCAGAGACATCTGATAACATAAATGATAGTTTAAGAGGTTCCCAGTTCTTTTGAAAATTGTAATGAAAAAGATCATGTAATCATAAGGAAGAACTGTAAATGATTTTGTGTGTGTGTGTGTGTGTGTGTTACAGTTTAATCTTTTTAGTAAATAGAATGCAGCTTCCCTAGATAGTCAAATGTCAAGAAACTTAAGCACAAAATCATCCCATTAATTGAACTGGATTAAGAAAAATAGAGTGTGCCTCAGTCCATTAAGTGTCACTGACTTTAAGAATACATATTGTTTATATCAGTTAAGAAAAAGTGACCTGTTTTATTCCACAGTCTTTCTATCTTTAATAACTGCTCTTTAAATAGTTTTTGTTGCATGAAAAGAACAAGGACATTCCCTTTCCCTTAATCAAGGTAGTAAGTGCACAGATATGACACCATGTTAGCTGGTGGATGACAGGGCTGCACCATCTGTGAATATGATTATTCAGCTTGATTACTGGCAAGAAGATGGTGAAAGATTACAGGAAGAATTCTAAATTTGAAGATGTTATTCGATATATGATTTATTTCACTTTTTAAATTGTTTTTGTCCATGTGCTTTCTAAAGGGACTTGACCCTTTCTAGGCTGGGAGACTCCATGCTGTGTTCAAAGCCTGAAGGCAGAAAAAAATTGTAAAGATTTAACAGGCATTATGTGACGTTAAATAGCAGATGAGAAAATAAGTATCATAGGGACATATCTAAACACTTTTTTAATCAAACAAAAAAGTATTAAATAAGAATTGATAATGATTACTCGAGTTGTTAGAAGTTTTCACCACGTTGTAATAGCTAACAGGATGTCAAACATTTTGCCCTCGCAAGTTTTTGTAATTTGCAATTTTCAAACGTGAGACCTGTTGAAAGTACAAGTGATAATGGACAAACTATACCCCCTACAGGCTTTGTCCCACCAAATCTTTCTTCAATTAATGCTGCAGCAGGAGTTTTATGTAATAACATTTGCAGTTGTGAGCCATCCATAGAAAGAAAAAACAATTAAAATGCCTTAAATGTTCTGCTTACTGCTGTTATTTGCTTGTGTGAATGTTGCATGTCAGCTAAATGGACCAAGGAATAGATAAAGTGATTGGGTGCAGGAGAGTGCACACTAAGCTTTGTCTATCATTATTGCTGGGAGCAATCAAATTGATGTCAGCAGGACAGTAGATGCGTTGACAGCTGTAATTATGTATCTCCATGGTGATCACTTTTGGCCTGTCATGGAGGCCCATGAGTCCCCTCCCTTGGAAGCATTTAATCAGATTGGGCTGTCACTTGTCAGGTAGACATGGCGGGCTGGGAGTTGGGCTTCAGGGGAGAGGTAGATTGAGAAGGAAGGGTGGGAGACGTCTGATACTTCCCAGGGCCCACTGTGGTACTGGAGAAAGCAGTTTCAATTATGCTGGGGGTTTCTGAGCAGTGGTTTAGGAATCTCATACAGAGCTGTGTGGGTGTTCTTGTTGTGAGCGTCCTAGGTTTCCTCCTTGCCTTATTAAAACTAGATCAGTCAGTTTAACTTGAGGAACCATGTTTACTCTTACCTTTTTTGGTCACAAGCATACATACTTAAGAGTTGACTTATGGTTTGTACTTTTCACATGCATCTTTAAACCTGAAATTTATCAATAGGGCAAATATGAAGATTTCCTTTCTAATTCTTGATAATCATATTTTATTTTATAATTTATTTTCAGACTACAGTTTTGTTCTGCTCATAAAATTGGTTCAATTTCCATTTGATTTTATTCCTAAAGCACTCACTGCAAATTTTTATGGCCTTTGTTTCCCTGAAGGAATGAGCACTCGATTTGACTCTTAATTGTTAGAAATTAGTTTTTTGGAAAAAAACTTTGTAAACAGTAAATTATAGAACAGGGGTTTCATGCTTTGTTACAATTTCAAATTGGAAATGTCAATTTGCCTACATGTGTTGATTACACATATTTTGATTTTACCCCATATGTTTTAAAATTAAAATGGCGTATTTCCCATGATCATGATTTTAGTAAATAAGAGAGACATAGTTGTATGTAGGAGCTCTGAGTCACTTAACTTTTAGGATGGTATTATTCAAGGTAATTAAAATTTTTAAGTTATGAACTATAGGAGGATGTAATAAATATTCTTTATTGCCTGTTATTTCACCAGTGAGTTAAACATCAGAATTTCTCACTAGCTTATAGCTGTTAATGTAGCAACGATAGGAGATGTTGAAAGTCAAAGGTTTTAGAACACAGCCTCATTAGCAAGTATGCTGTGGTTTTACATGTGACGTGATGGTAAAGTTAGTTCTTTAACTTTTTGGCATTAAAACGGAGACAACTAAAGTACACAGTCATCTTTTTGGTTATATAACTTGATCGTCTGTTGCCCTTTGGAGCTACCTGAATGTGGGGAGAGTGTAGACTGATAGCATTGTTTCAAAGCTGCTCTATTTATTTTTTTCTAGTTCTTTTTAAAACTTTTTAAATTAACACCAGGAACTTAATAGAATTTAGTTTATGTTCTGAAATATGTTTTCAGAAAATAGAAGCCCAAGTATGCTTTGTAATATGCTGAGTGGCTTTCACCTAAAGATTTTCATGTATGACTGTGAATAGAAATATCCATATTTTTGTTGGTGTTTGCAAATTTGGAAATAAAAGCCCTCTGGGCATAATGTTCTCTTTTAAAACCTTACAGGGAAAATATATTGGTGTAATTTTTTTTTTTCTTTTTGAAGAGAGTGAAACCATGGCTTATCTTTTGACGTCACTGTGTAATAAAGCCATCATCTTACCCTCATGTGGCTATCTTAGACAAGAGGTTCTACATGCGGTCCCTTGATAATTGCCTAAATTAAAATATTAAAGGCCTAACAGCCGCTGTGTTGACCTTTTCCTGCCTGCTGCAGACAGCTGAGCTGCTGTTTATGAGGCCCACTCTTCCCACAGGTGATGCGCGGGAGCTTCCGATCTTCTCTGCCCACCCCTGTGCAATGTTGGGCATCAAAGTCCTGCTGTTCCAGCAGCTTCGATTAAATTCCTCCATCCTCAAGACCCCTAGGATATGCCTGACAGGCTCCATATTTTGATTAGTTTTTAAATAGTTCAGATTCCAAAACTTGGTCACAATAATTTAATAACTACTCTGTCCTCAGCAACTGCTCATTTTAGAAGTTGTACATGGCTAACCTCCATGCCTCGCTGCTGATATCAAACTGGGAGATGAAAACAAGAATCAGTGATGTACTAACTAACCTGTTGGCTGGTTAACAGCAATCTGGCTCTTCAAAAGGGTATTTTGAACTTTTGCTGTTTTTTCCCCCCATGAAAATTGCAAAATCAGAACTCTAATTGGGGCTGTGTCCTCACAAAGCAAAGCCATTGGAAAAGCTGTGTAAACACGGAAGCCTCAGGGGACTAACAGTAACAGAAAATAGCGTTTTACAGTTCAGAGGGTGCGGCAGAAAGGGAAGTGTTGCCTACATGAAAGGCCAGAACGGTTCTGGCACTGAGAGGCAGGCAGCCAGGGCTCAGGCTTCCCCGGGCCGCTCAGAGGGATCGGGCAGGGAGTCCCCTGAGAAGGGGCGTCATCCACACAGGCAGAGAGCTGCAGATGCATCCTGGGGCACTGGTGTAGGGTGTATAAAGTCCCCGTTTCATTCCTTAGTTCCTTCATTTAGTAACAGAAGCGTGTCTTGTAGTGCATATTAACAGATCAAGACGGGTTGGTCTCTGTGCATTTTGAGGTTGTTTTTCTAATGTTCAGGAATGGGAATGTTACTTGAGATCGAAACTATCTAGTTTCTCTGTGGAAATTAAATTTGTGGCTTTAAAAAATTCTGCCCAATATGAAGTTCCTTTCATTTTTCTCTCTCCCTCCCAGGTCCGGGTTGACAGTGGCATCCAACCAGGAAGTGATATCAGCATTTATTATGATCCTATGATTTCAAAAGTTAGTTCCATTTCTTAATGGTTTCTTTCAGTGTTCTTTTGAACAATGTACGTATTTAGTTAAAAAGTCTGACACAGAGCCTTTACCTGAATCATGTATTATAATTAAACAAGTAATTATAGACTGATGTAAAATAGAAACTGCAGATTTTTTTCTCTTAAGAAATTTTAAGACCATATTCATTTGTCTGTCCTCCCCTCTCAGATCATCCACCTGCACCACCCCACCAACAAACATCCACTCAGGGGCACCAACCCAGCTCATAGTAGTAAGAAGGCATTAAGTTTTGTTTGCTTTTTGGATAAATTTAGAAAATTGCCTAAGGTAAAAAAGTGTCAGTTGATATCAAGAAGTTGGGCTGATAGGCAGTGTTTGTTGGAATGCTTTTGACCTATTCAGTTTTTCTTTGCAAATTAATAGTCCTTACGTTGTTGATTTGACATAGTTAAGTTTCTAGTTTTTTTCTTTGTTTTCTTCCCTTTGTGGTTCTGGAGGTCAAACCCAAGGCCTCCTGTATGCCAGGCAAGTGCTCTACCCCTGAGCTCCACCCCCAGTCCAATTACATTTTATAGAAGATTATAATTTGTGGTTTGTCCACCTGTCTTTTCCAAGTTTAACTTTCTAGATTGAATAATCAACTTAATTTATTTTAGTATTGAAATCTTAAGACTTTATAATATGTAAAGTATTACAGTAGTTAAAACTATATATTTTATTTGAAAATATTGTGTTCTCAAAAATGTTAAATCTACATTGAGGAATGTTTTTTAAAATTTTTCTTTATTAAACTCTGTTTCATAAGATGGTTTTTCCCCAAGAGTACTTTTTAATGTAATTGTAGTAAACAAACTAGTTATTTATTTATTTTTAACTTTGCTTTTACACTAATATTGTTAAAGTGAACCTTAGCTCTTTTTTTGTTAGAGAAACCTGATTTAATTTAAAAATAAAAATACCTAAAATATATAAATGGAGTTTTAAATCGCTAAGATTCCATTTTTAGATGTATACTTTTCTGTTAATGGCTTATGAGTTAATTTTCAAGCTGGTTTAATGTTGAAGACCTTACAAAATTTACCAAAGTTATTGTCGTATACAGGATAACTAATGTCATTAAATCCTTAATGAATAGTTAAATTCTTATTTATTAATTTATATAAGGTATATTTAAACAGGCACAGAATTCTATAGAGCAGGAAGGCCTTCACGTTACTCTAGTACCAGTGCCCTTTGCTTCTGTGTTCTATTAAGTATGAAACAGAGCAATTCTTAAAATAGACTTTTTAAAACTTTCATCTTTTTATTTAAAAGTTTATGTACTTTTTTGGTGGCTTATCAACATGTTCCCTGTTCAGTGTATCAAAGTTGGAAACAACAGGAAAAAAAGGGAAATAAAAAAGTCTTACCCAGTCCCACATGTTTACATCCTGTCCCCAATCTTCACTTTTGATGTATCTCCTTTTCAACTTTTGGCTTGTTTTTGTGATTTTTGTTTTTTCAAATAGCTCTTTACCATGATAATGAAATGTATAAGTTTGAAATAGCTAGATTCTAATATTTGTTTACTTGAGAAATCTTAACTGGCACATTTTATATTAAAAACTAAACCACTGTGAAGTTTCAAAAGCTATCTTGGGAAGTCTTTATGAAATACTTCACTTGTTCCTGGATTGAATCATTTATCACGTAGGTAACTATAAACGTCGTTTCTGCCTGTCTGATTTTAGTTAATCACCTATGGCTCTGATAGAACGGAAGCCCTGAAGAGGATGGAGGACGCACTGGATAATTATGTTATTCGAGGTAAAAAGAAAACTTTGTGACCCTGTTACTACATATGGTGTCTAGTTCTAGCAAACAGCTTGAAGTTTTACTAATTAGCGAATTCATGAAGCAGTTGTTTACTATGTATTTAGTAGAAATCAGAAAAGCTTGAATTAATTCAACTGACATACTAGACCCGCTTCCTTTTCGTTAACAGTCCTATATGTTATACATGCATCTTAAGTTATTTAATAAACTTATGATTAGTAACCATTCCTAAATAAGCATTTTCCATTTTGCAGTTACTATTGTATGTAAAACGAGAATCTATAGCATAAAGAACCATTGGCCAGTGCAGTTTGGTAACAATTTTGCTATATTATTGTCTATGGAGTTTTTTATTTGTTTTTTGAAGTAGGAAACTTGAGAATGTATGGAGATAGAAACATAGTGACTTACCGTTGGATAGATTTGGGGGAAGGGAGAATAGCTCTTTGCTTTAGAGTACAGCCTAGGGGTCGACTGTTTTCTAGGAAGTGAAGCTTTGTTCCCCCTGTTTGGAGCTGGTATTTGTAGTGCCTAACAAGATGAGATCCTATGAGCTATCAGAGGTACAGAAATAGGAGCAGCACTTGCATTTAAAGAATTAACTCCAAATTATACTTATCCCTTTTGGGGGGAGTAAGTCATATTCTAAATTTTATTAGAAATTTTCTATTAGTAAGTAAATTATTTTAGCCCGACATAAATTGTTATCAGCTGTAGAATAATGGATTTTAACACCAAATTGAAAGGGGGAGATCCAAGCTAGCTTTGAATTTTGAACAAGTAGTGAGGGGGTCTTTTTATTTAAAAGTTCATGTACTTTTTTGGTGGCTGGGGGCTTGGTGGGGCTGGGAGGCTCCTTTGGGAGTCCAGGGAAGAGAGTAGCTGTCATGTATGATGCCAGCCTTCCTCAAGGCCAAAGGAAGCACTCTTGCAGATTTCAGAAAATCTTCTTTCAAGTGGACACAGCTTTTGGGTCCTGAGGCTTGGCAAGTAGACTCAGGCTTTGTGTGGAATAGAAAAAATGCTCTGTTCTCAGGGTTCAACGGGAAGTCCAGCTTGGCAGCAAGCACATCGAGCCTTTGCTTTGCCCCCTTGACCGAGTTACTTTGTGCAGTGAACAGTTTGTACAACTGTCCAGTAGCAGCAATTTCATGACCCATTTTTTTCAGCAATCTACTTTCCCAGCTCATTTTTATCTGATGACAATTAACTCATGCAGTCCGCACTTTCCCTCATCCTTTCTCTTCTGATTTTTCCTTTGTTAGATCAGAACAAATTCTTCTTTCTCCTCCCTGTAAGCACTGCCTTCTTCCCTTCACTCGGGTAATCGTGATTTTATCTCGTCTCCTGTGTTAGGGATTCGTCCATGTCAAACAAGGAAAACGGGAAGCTTTCAAGTGTGAAAATCTGCAGATCTAAAATTTGTATCTAAAAATCGATAAAATCCTCTTCATATTCTTTCTAGTTTATTTTCTACTTCCTTTTTTAGCCTTGATTTTAGAGTATTTACTGATTTATAACTTTGCTGTGTTCCTCTATTTTAAGCAGCAAATATTTTTTTTTTATGCATTGGTTTTATAGGCCCATGTGTCTGTATTCCTTCAGAAGTGATTTTTCCCCGAGAGGACATTAGGACACGTTTGGAACATTGTGTGTGTGTGTGTGTGTGTGTGAGTGTGCGCTATAACTACTGTGCATACATGGTCATAAATTAGTTGTATGGGAAACTCACTCCTGGAGGACTTTTATGTCTTTGTGTCTTCTGGGAGTGGAGGGTCCCCTGACCTTGATCTTTGAATTTTTTTACTGTGGTTGTTGAATTATTAGATTTTGGTTAATTTAAGTTTTACTGCAACAAGCTCAAATGGTAAAATCTTGAGTTTGAAGTAGACAGTTTGAGTAAGAATATGTTGTTGTCACATGTCCATCCAACTGGTAGAGCACAATATGATGGTGTTTAAGTTAAGTGGCTTAAATACCAAAGTGGCTTCCCTTAGTCTCCTAACTTTACATGGATCACATGTAGAAATGTGTTCTATTGCGCATATAGATTTTTCTAAGCTGAGTCTGAAATTTTTGCCTTGAATCATCGTGATATAGTGGAGTGAACCTGGGAGACTGGGATCCACATCCTCTTGTCATGTCACAGCATGTAGTAATAGTGTGCATACTATTTTTGACTTACTGTCTCTGTGAGTCTCATTTTCCACATTTTGAAATGGAGTGACAGTCTCTGCCCCATCCTTAGTGGTGAGGTTTAGGAGAGATGAGACATGTGAAGGGCCTGGTACTCTCCTGATTCATGTTCTCCATCAGCTTTGGTCCATCTCTTCTCCCTCTCTCACCACAGTTACAAAACCACATTTTTAAATGTCATAAATCGTAGTATTATCAGTGGCGTGAAATTTATCAAGCCATAGATAAATAATAAGAAAGCCCATCTATAGTCATTCCCAGAGCTGTGTGCTGGGGTCATAACGCTCATGGCAACCTGTCCCAACCCTTCTTTGAAGCATTTACTGTCAGCGTAAAGAGACTATTAATTGTGCAATTAATGGCTCACTGTTGGATCATCCCGTAAGAACATTAGGAAAGCGCAGGCACGGTGGTGCTTACCGTGTTTAATTGTGTGTTACTGGTGCTGAGTAGTGCCTGGCACATGGTAGATGATGAATAAGTCTTTGTTGGGCAAGTGAGTGGTGCTGTCCCTGATTTCAGGGCACTTCTAACACCCCTGGTATGAAAAACACATGAACAGAGAAATACAACTGCGTGCTGTGGTCTTTTGGGACGATAATGTGGTAAGATATTTTAAAATAAAAGTACCAACCTTTTGACTCAGCCACTCAGCTTTTGGGACTCTTTCCCATGGAGTTGATGGTCCCAGCTGTAAGGTGATGTTCACAAGGACAGTGATAACAGCATTGACTGTCGTGGCTAAACGGCTGCGCAACTCGGTGTGTACTAGATGCACGCTGCTTGAATGAGCGCGCCGCCCGGCTGACGTAAAGCACTGTGTGCTGGTGACTTGAAGCCATGGCCATGTGTGCTGTTAAAGTGGGGGAGGAATTTGCAGAGCCTTATCTAATACGTTCTCACATTAAACTCCCTTCTTAGCCTAAAATATTTTTCATTATGTTTGGATGGACACAGAGAAAGGGATGTGCACATATCAGATGGAATTTCATGAAGCTCAAAGTTTTTGTCAAAAGGCGGGTATTCTTGCAGTGCTTTCCCTAGGAGTTTTATTTCAGGTGTTTTTCAACCTAGAGAGAAGTTGAATAAACGGGTGCCACACCACACTCTTCCCCTGGCTCATCAGACGTCAGACTCTGACATTTGCTCTTTTCCTCTTTTCCCCTCCTTTGCCTTTCCCTCCTTCATCCTCTCTCTTCCTCCCTCGTTCCTCCCTCCTTTCTTTCCTGTTTTCTTTCTGTTCTGTGTGAGAGAAGGTTGTGAACTCCATGACATGGCTCCTAAGGGCTTCACAGGGCAGCTTAAGGGTAGGAGCACGCTCCCACAAACTGCAAAGCCACTGTCACTGCAGACAAGATCCACAAAAACCCGATGCCATCACTGCCGTCCCACGCAGATCCCAGGCTCAACACTTTTCTCTCAAAGTGTGAGTTTTATTTGCTTTTTAAGCCCATTCATGGTCCAGACTTTGCACAATACCTTTGATTGTGTATTCTTATTCTCTTGCCCTCTTGTGTTTCACTAGCATTTTTAAAAGTTTTTAAGTTTATTTGTTCTAATCAGTTTTACGTGACAACAGAATGCTCTTTGATTCATTGTACACAAATGGAACACAACTTTTCATTTCTCTGGTTGTACCCGAAATAGGGTCACACCATTTGTACAATCATACATGTACCTAGGGTAATGATGTCCATCTCATTCCACCATCTTTCCTATCCCCATACCCGCTCCCGTTTCCTTCCTCCCTTTTGGCCAATCCAAAGTTCCTCCACTCATCCCATGCTTCTTGTCCATTATGGATTAGCATCTATTTATCAGAGAAAACATTTGGCCTTTGTTTTTTTGGGATTGGCTTACTTCATTTAGCATGATATTCTCTATCCATTTACCTGCAAATGCCATAATTTTATTCTCTTTTACTGCTCAGTAATATTCCATTGTGTATGTGTACACACACACACACACACACACACATACCACAGTTTCTTTTTCTTTGTCCATTCATCTATTGGAGGACATTTAGGTTGGTTCTATAGTTTGGCTATTGTGAAATGTGCTATAAACATTGACGTGGCTGCATCATTGTAGTATGCTCTTTTAGTCCTTTAGGTATAGACCGAGAAGTGGGATAGCTTTGTCAAATGGTGGTTTCATTCAAGTTTTCTAAGGAATCTTCATACTGCTTTCCATATCGACTGTACCAATTTGCAGTCCCACCAGCAATGTATGAGTGTGCCTTTCTCCCTACATCCTTGCCAACACTTATTGTTGCTTGTATTCATGATCACTGCCATTCTGACTGGAGAGATGAAATCTTAGAGTAGTTTTTTTTTTTTAATTGGTTGTTCAAAACATTACAAAGCTCTTGACATATTTTATACATTAGATTCAAGTGGGTTATGAACTCCCATTTTTACCCCAAATACAGATTGCAGAATCACATCGGTTACACATCCACATTTTTACATAATGCCATATTAGTGACTGTTGTATTCTGCTACCTTTCCTATCCTCAACTATCCCCCCTCCCCTCCCCTCCCATCTTCTCTCTCTACCCCATCTACTGTAATTCATTTCTCTCCTTGTTTTTTTTCCCATTCCCCTCACAACCTCTTATATGTAATTTTGTGTAACAATGAGGGTCTCCCTCCATTACCATGCAATTTCCCTTTTCTCTCCCTTTCCCTCCCACCTCATGTCTCTGTTTAATGTTAATCTTTTCCTCCTGCTCTTCCTCCCTGCTCTGTTCTTAGTTGCTCTCATTATGTCAAAGAAGACATTTGGCATTTGTT